GAAAAACTATCATTTTTCTTTTCAGTACACTCAACAATTTTCCATTTAACTTAGGGCTTGTGATTATGACAATATATTTCTCAGAAATGGTGTCATTGATTAATTCAATATATTTCAGATTGGGGCACAGTTACATGAGATTATGTCAGCTGTCTCCGTTTGTTGTTATGGGCAACTGAAAAATAGTTAGTACTCCCTCCATTTCATATTATAAGGCCATTTTAACTAACCCACATCCATTTAAAAAAAAAAAGTATCTAGTAAGTGAACTCGTTTCTAGGCAAGTAATTTTAATACACTTCTAAGGACATTTTTGATAAAAAGACATTAATTGCACATAAAATTCCATAAATGGCCTTACACCTTGAAACACAGTACTTTACAAAAATGGGCTTATAATCTAAAATGGAAGGAGTAGTCACTAACTATTATAACCACCTATTTATCCTTATGAACAATATAAAGAGGGTAATTTGTACTTAGACTTGGGATAGCTTGATCAGTTCTGTCTGTGCATCATGCACTGATTAAGGGGTCAATTCTGATTAAATCAATACTGTAGTTCTCTGCCCTAGTTTGAAAAGCAACTATTAACAAGAGAATTGTTAAAAACCAGACATGCTTCTTTTGCATTGCAAAAAGAGTTCATGACTAAAAAATAGGCCGCATTATTTATGAATGGTGAATAGCACGACGTGCTATAAATTTTATTTTTTATATTGATATATTGTTTGGACCAATGTATTAGCCATCAAGAGTTTAGCATTTCTTTCATGCCACTATGCCCTATGGGCAAGAGCTAGCCCACCAGTCACCTGAAAGTTATGCTTAGCGGATGAACTTTTTCAATTAATTTGGATGGCTGGCAATTACTTGATTAGACAGACAGAGAGATGCTTCTCTGTTATCATCATTGCCATTCAACTTAATGTCAAGTTAGATCCAAATATCCCAAGGGCACAAATTCGGCAGAAATATGCAATCAAAGAATCCAAATCATTGCCTTCCTTATGTTGTATCATTTGTGTGATGTAGACAAACCCAGTTCACTGATCGCACTATAATTCAAAGTCTCATCTCACCTCTGTCGAGTCGTTGGATTTAACACTAGTAGTGAATGTTGATGAGAACAACAACGAGACTGTACAAATCAATAGCACCGCAACAGCAACTGACAACTTAATCATCATCCTACTTATTCCTCCCCCTCCTCCATGCTTCAAGTGCTGCCTGTGATTCCCAGCCCCGCAACAATCACAAAACAACGAAGTTAAACTATAGAAAATAAATAATTAAATAAGAAACCATAGAAGAGAAGAAATGATTATATAGCCTTTGCTACTTCTTTTACCCTACCTTCTCATTGTGACGTTTCAAAAGGTAATTACGAGGATAGAGGACTAGCTCTCTTCTCCAATCGTCACACCAGTTCAAACCCTCCAAAATAACACCATGAATTGCTGCATCAATGTGCCACCAAATATACGTGAAAACGATTATAACAACGAAGCGCAATATGTGATGCATTGGCATGTGAAATGGAAAGAAGAACTAGCTAAACCATCAACTTACACTCAAATGGCGAACTTCAAAAAAATTAGAAAACAAAAAGAAATACCGTCAGAAGCAGACTTGGACTATGAAGGAATGCGGATAGCGAATGAGTTCTCGAGCTATGTCCAGATTCCAAAAAATGGAACCAGGCATCGGTTGTGAGTACAGAAGGAAGAAAGCGTCTGCTGAATCACATCACGTCGTCCGACCCAAAAAAAAAAGTCCACATCACGTTGGCAAGAGCGAGTTACGGGTCGGTGCGGGTTAGCAGGGATCATATCTACAAGCTCAGGCCAGGCAAGATCCGAGATTTTTTTTGGTGCATGTCTTTTTTTGGTTTTTAAAAGGGTGTTTGGATATAAATGAAACCATGATTTCAGAAGTGCTTTTACGGTTTATGAAGTAAATATATGAAGGAATTTGTCTCGTTTTGCAGAAAAGTGCTTTTAAAACCATGGTTTGGATGTTTTCAAATACCCCCTAAAAAGACGTTTGGTAATTTCAGAATCACTTTTCAAAAACACTTTTATGTAAATCGAGGCAAACTCCCTCTACATATTTACTTCGTATATCGTAAAAGCACATTTGAAACTATAGTTTTGTTCTTATCCAAACACCCCCTAAGATTAAAAGAGAATGTTTGGATAGAAACTAAGGGCCCTTTGTTCTTTGTTTTCTTGTTCTCAAAACAATTTTATAACATTGTTTTTATAATAAGTTTTGAAAACAAAAAAAAAATTGTTTGGATAATAATTTTAAAAAATCATGTTTGAAAAAAAAACCGTAGAGAAATCACATTTGGTAGGTGATAGTTATCGCTGGTAATGGTAAGTAGTGGATTAGATAAGAAGAGAAGAAAATTTCTCAAAAATTTTCATAACAAAAAATAAAAATGCAAAAATAAGACCAAAAAAATGTAAAAGTTGTTTTGTTTTTTTGTTTTTAAAAACATGTTCCTGTATTTTGTTTTTTAAAACAATCAACTAAAAACAAATTACCAAACAAATTTTTTATTTTTGTTTTTAAAAATAAAAAATTATTATCAAAACAAGAAACCAAACAAGCCCTAAATTATAGTTTGTCTCGATTTGTCAAAAAGTATTTTTGAGAAGTATTTTTGAGAATATCCAAACACCTCTAAAACGTTAAGACTGAAAATCTCGATTAAATACGGTTCTTCTGGGAAAAAGAAACCGTTTGGCTTGGTTTGGTTCATATTACAATCATATTTTTAAATAAATTGTAATTTGTACAAATTATCCCTAAAATCATACCAAACATCATTTTGGACCCAATCTGACTTTTTGAATCTAAGAAGTTAGTTTGCTTTGAGTTAATGATAATGTTTCATTCACAAATTCATACCTTGTGTCCACAACCTTATAACTTAGTAATGTCTGAAAGGGTTGTGAAATCAAAATTCCAAATTGTTTGGAAAAAGTGAGTGTACGTGTGGTTAATCATTTGAGTCTAGAAAAGGGTTAGAATAGGACAATTCAAAAAGTTAAAAAAGCTGAGATCTTCACTTAATGCCTGTTTGGGTCAGTGTTTGCTGGCCCAAATGTGAGTTAATTTTAACACAAGCCCGATTGAAAGTTGATCTAATGTTTGGGGAGGGCTTATAACATATTGGGCTTATTGAAAATAAGTTGGCTGACCGTGTGGTGTAAATTAAGCCAGGAAAAGAGCTTATTTTTGAAGTCTGAAGAGCTTAATTCAGGATCGTTTTGTGTGTGTGTCAGAGAATTTATTCCCTCTTTGTTTTTCTCTCCCTTCTGGCATTATTCCCTTACGATTTCACTTTGTTTTTTTCCCCTCAAACCTCTCACTTGCGAGTCCCGTCTCTTCCGCCAATCCCACTTGCTCTGTCGCCTCCTCCCAAAAGCTCCGTCGCTGGTCGCCGTGAGCTCTGTCGTGTCATCAGCATGAGGTCACCGTGCTGGGTGTAAGGTGTGCGTGGCCTGCTAGAGGCTGCTCCTTCATCACAAGTCCGAGTTGCTCTCACCGTCTGCAGCTGAGGTTGCCATCGTCTGCCAGTGCATGTGAGTTGTGCGTGGGGATCTTAGTTTCCTAGTGCCTACAATAAGCTGCCAGTTGGGGAAAGAAAGAGGATAGATAATAAGATAGCTCATAAGTGTCAATTTGAGTCAAACAACTTCTCAGTGTTTGTAGAAGCTTGTTTTACCATAGGAAGATTCAAACTTGCTAAGCACCAAACCCATTCTTCACTATCGTCCAATATGGGCCCACCTCATCCTAATTCCTAGCAATTAGACATCTTCCTTTCATAGTTGCAGACACCGGTCTTTGAGGGGCATCAGATACACTCAGCTGCTTCCTATTTAAGGACTGTGGGATAACTGCTAAATCATTCAAGATATTATAGGAAAGGTCTTTTATGGCATACCAATCCCAACTTCGTTTGGGAGTCACAAATCACAAAATCAATTATTGACTTGTTTAGTTCTCATTTTCTTTCCATCCACACTTCGCCCTAGAGTAGAAAAATGAGCCACCACTTTCAGATTTGAGAATTGTTAAGATCAAGCTTGGGATTTAGGCATCTAAACTAATGAACTGAAAACCTAAACAAGCCGAACCTTTAGAGTAGGATGCCAGTCCGTTTAGATCCTTTCATTTATCTATTTTTATATGAAAATGGTTATTATGTTAATGTTATTAATATTATTTATGATCTCATAAATATTTGTTCGTTATCATTTTTTAATAATTGACTTTTATGGTATAGCTTCGTTCGTTAGACAACAGTTTATTTATTTGAACTTTAAACCGGACAAAAACTAAATTCTTAACCTCATACATTTGTTAAACCAAATAATAATAAGTAAATTTTAAATATTAATGATATTAATAAAAAGAGTTTGTCATGAATCGTGGATACATCAATTTAATCAAAAAGAAAATCGAAAGGTGGGAAAAATTAATCTGAATCAAATTATTTGATAAAAAAAGGGACATATGATTTACTCGTGGAAAGAAGGGTAGGGGGAAACAACATTAAAGCGCAACATTACCACCGAAATAAAATATTACAACCGTTTAAGAGAAGGAGGCAGAGGGCGGCCTAATTAGTCTGGGAATTGAGCACACAATTTATCAAACTACAAATAGGGCTATAGTTCATTTAAGTTTGGTCAGATTTTTGCCAAACAGAACACAACACAAAGCAGATAAGCAAATGGGAGGGAAGAGTATTCTCAGAATTTGGTTATATCTGTCAGGTGTCTTTTTGTAGATGTGGATGACTTTGTTCTGCTCAGCTGCAAAGGACCTCAACACGGTCAGGAATCATGCACAACAAATATTGGCAACTCAAATAAATGCACTCTTAGCTGTCTCTTTTACCCTTAAGCACCCCCTTCTAGATGAGTATGGCATCATCACTCAATATAAAACATAAGGTTGCAGCAAAGACAATTTTTTTCAAAGTCCGTAAAGGTCCACGTATTCTCAGAAACAAATCCACATCAATAATACTTCTGTAACAAGTTCCTTGTTAATCATATACATGACAAACCTTTCTATAGACCTTAGCAACATGACGTATGCTAATCGCAGCCTATTTTTGAGTGTATGAAACATATACAAACAGCATGCTTGATATAGTAAACGCTCATTTAAAATTTTACCTTTCTCGGCAAGAAACATAAATACAATTAGGAAGTTTTGGAAGCAAGAAGTTCCATCTGTTGAGTAAGATGATCGATATGTTTTATCTTATCCAACTTTTCCTGTCCATTCTCCCTTCTAGATGGAACTTCGCCTTCCTTAGTCAAACCATCTCCAAGAGAGCAAGAACTGATTTCATCTGTATCGCCTGTAAGCGGACTTGCTGTGAGAAACTGTTCCCAGAAAACATCACTAATGCTTGGGAGCTTAGAAATTCCATCTGGATCAGGTGAAAAGGCATCAGTTTCTAATTCTACAGACTGTGTCCCATCCAAAACTGCTGACATCATGTCTATGTCCCCCGCATTCCCAGTGTCAGGCCCCGCAAAAGTGAGTTCAGGATTCACTAAACTGCTCTCTGTCTCCACACCTTGGACTTCACCAATACCCAAAACATTCTCTGGGCAATTATGTAAATTTAATCCTGGAAATTCAGCTACTTTAACAGGGTCTGTCAACACAGCACCGGAAGATTGCATCTCAGATGTGTTGGTGGGAGTACGATTAACAGGCAATTGCGATTGCCCTGCCATATAAGACTGGCCAGAAGTAGGTGTAACCTCAGAAAGAGTCACTCCTGAAGCCCGGCTAGAGGAACTCCCACTATCTAATGCAATGGCAGAAGGAACATCATCAATAAGAAAAGCATCGGAGTTATTTATTGATGATTCCCTCCTTGAAGAAGTATTCATCTGCAATATCTGGCGCAATACTGCTTTTGCAGCCTCATTCATAGAAGGTTGATATTTAATAACACGTCCATCAGGAGCATCATAGAGATGATCAGAGGGTAATGTACCTTCATCCTGCCTGTGAAGCCTCCTCTTTTTATTGCCACCAGTAATATGTCTGTTACTGTCACTATGCTGCTGTACAAACTGTCCCAAGAATCCTGGGCTTTGCATGGCCTTTGCCAGAAATGACATCATTTGTTGTTGACGCTGCTCCATAACCTGTACACGTTGCCCAACACTTTGCAATTGGTTATCAGTTGCTTGTTGTTGTTGTCTCAACCTAACAAGTTCTTGCATAAGAACATTCTTATCCCTTTTCAATCTTTCAACCTCTTCTTCAAGCCCAAACTTTCCAACCTCAATACATGCCGCAACAGGTTGTTCTGTGCCGGAGATTGCTGTTGACTACCGTTCACTTGAGCAGGTTTCCTCCGACTGATACCCTTCAAAAGTTGTTTCTGACCTCTCAAAAATCCTTCATTTGCAAATTCCCAGCGGTCTGGATCAACCTTTCTAAAACCCTAATTGTCAATTAAAAGGAGGTGATTAAGTAAAATTAAGACTAAAAAAAAGTAAACAGAAGAAAATGCAACAAGAGTTGTGTTATATATGCATGCATGCATGCATGTATGTCTGTCTGTATGTATAGACAATGCATTATGTAGAAGAAAATTCAAACAACAATCAGTTTCCAAGTACAAATGCAATCAATTTCGAAAAGTAGCACTATAGTTTTTATCTGGATATTTCAGTAAAGTTTC